TGTTGTGGGGGGGGGGGGGGGTGGTGGTTTAGAACAAGTCCACCTTCTTCTTCATCAAATCTTGCTTCCACCTGGGTAACTTGTTGAATGCTTCTTTTGTCATCCCAAACACAGTCTGGAACTCTTCTTCAGACAGGTAAGCCTGTCAGAATTGGTAATAAATCAAACCCTGGAGTAAGCTAGCCAGAACCGAACAAACCATAGAAATTGACATCAAACTTGACTTTCTCACCTCTCTTCTTTTGAAATCTATTCCGGTCACTGGGTTTTCGGATTTGGCTCTGAGCTGTTCATAACTGAAGATAGCTCCAATTGCCACACTTTCCGAAGAATCACCATGTTCTTCAGTTCCCTGATTTGCTTCTGATTCTTCAGCATTGGCTTCTGCTGCTGCGTGTGAGACTTGCTCTTCTTCCTTGGCTTCAGCCACTTCGTCAGAAGCCTCAACTTGCTCTGCTGCTTGTGGAAGCAAGTATTTGCCGTGTTATCAAAGTTTCAAAACATGAAAAGCAACAGAATAATCTCATCTCATGATATCCACATCCTCTGGCAAATGACAGTAGTAAAAAGCTGTCCAGAGGCATGGGTAATCAACTAATCAAGACCCCACTTTATAGTAAAAAAATGTAACCTAAGATCCCATTCTCAAAGACCATGTCGGATTTAGAAAGCTGAATAATGCATCAAAAGAAAAGACTCAAGTCCAAACACAACTGAATCTCTGGAAGTCATTTTGGGAACCAGATTGTGCCTTTTCTGCTTTCATGCAAAAAAAGGGAAACCGCTTTGTGATAAAGGAAGTGTACCACTTCTGGGCATTCATGGATGCAAGCTGCTATCCTTTCGAGGGCAAAAGTTGAAAAGGAAATCATCAATGCCTAACCAGTTAGATGGGATACCCATGAATGTTTACCCCTTCAGCCATATGTTAAAAGAGCTATGCTTGTTAACTTACCAGAAGGACTGGCATCCGCTGGATTAGAGCTGGTAGACCTTCTGGTAGGAGAGGTGTCAGGTGATTTCTTTTTTGATTCAGCAGTGAGGACTTGTGATAGAGCAGCCACAGCTGCTGCTCTTTGAGATCCCTGGCCTGTCCCCGCTGACCTCTGCGAAGATGACTTCACAGATGATGAAGAATTAAATGCGGATGACAGGGCAGCTAAAGCTTCAGCTCTTTGTCTCGCTCCCCCTTGACTTCCGTTGGATCTTTCTTGGCTCTGCAATTAAAAGGATGACTGCCGAAATTAACAACGGAAGCAATAACTTTGGAACATCATGAGATGCAAGTTGCTAAAGATAAGTACACTAGAAAGACAGAATTGAATTTTAAACTCTCTCCCTTGATTGGACTTTGGCTCAAGTAAACAAGTGAAGACAAAATTCAATTCTACTTAGTTAACCAATTTAGTCTTGACTAGGTGCACATATTCGTTGGATGAATCTCATATGTCAGCCACAAACTTATCTCTCGTAGCATCGAGGATGTTGAGAAAACTCTTGAGGAAATCTAAATTGATTTATGATGTGTTCATAAGCTGATAATATTCAAGTGAAAAGCTGCATACACATCTCCCTTCCCATCCAGATACATGGAACTAGCCATCCTTATATCTGGGCTTAAGGTCTGTTAAAGATTTCCACAGAACTACAGGGGAAAATAACATCCAAAAGGCATTATTCTTCTGTCAAAGTTCTCATGACATACTGATATCTTCAATTGTTTAATCAAAGATGAAAGTGGTAGACACATCAAACTTAGACTATTTACGGAAAAGGTTACCCTTTCACCAGAAGAATTAAATGCAGAAGTTAAGGCAGCTAGAGCTTCAGCCCTTTGCCTTGGTCCCCCTTGGCCCCCACCATGTGACTTGTCCTGCAGCAGAGTGATAGCATCAAGCACTGAATTGGCAAGTAAGGGAATAACAAAAGTATATACACAAAGGAGAGGAGATGAAATATGGACATCCGTATTCTTTCAATTCTAGTCACCCTTCTTTAAATCAGCGCCAAACACAAAAGCCCCAGAAACAGAAAACACAGAGATACGGTATCACCAACTCATGTCAGTTGGCATCTAGACAAACTATTTACCTCCACAACGTGGTTTGCACCAAATAATAACGCCACCTTCTTCTGGAAAGAGTTTCCTTGCGCCTGCATTAGAGGGAAAATACCAGATACTGATAAATTAGGAAAAAGATATCAAACCAGCAGAAGTGCAAAAAAAAAGGAAGCAAAAAGCTACAGCCAGAGTTTATTATATGGAAAACCTCAAATTCTACACTTTCTTTCCTGAAAGGTTGACATCCTTAGTTCTCAATATTTGACCCATAATTGCAGATATTCATCCAACATTGTTAATTTTAGATGATATGCTGCTTCATTATAACAAGTGAGATGTGATACTTCTAACTTCTTCATTTTGTATTAGGATGCTGCAGACAGAATCATGCAATTGTATATGGCAGAGGGAAGAGTTAATTCTATTTTTAAATTTAACTGGAAGACAACTTTAACCCTTCTCAAAACTAATATGTTAACTAGCCTTTCTTTTAAAAACAAGCACCAAAAGAAATCTAAAACATAGTTTCTAGGATAGAAGAACTTACAATAGCTTTAGCTGGTTCCCAAGAAAAGTACGTTGTGAAGAAACATGGTTCATTCCCTTCAGTGATTTTGTAAAGTGGAACCTTCAGAGGCAAGCCTTCGAGGGCAGCAGCCATTTCTATGTATCTCTGCCCACAAACCATACAATGAGCGAACAGTATTTAAATGGAGGAAAAGCAAACTGAAAATGAAAGCTGATTTAGTAGTGTACCTGGCCAATATCGAAAGTCATTTGTTTTTCCTTGGAGTCCACACATTGTCCAACCCAGACAAAAACTTCAGCATGAGTGTCAAGTATATACATATCCTCAGTCAAGAGATCATCTTGGGCAAAGTTGTAAATCTCCTCAACCTGTGCAACATAGCGTCAGAGCATGCCAAAAACATCTATAGAATAGAAATTAGATAATAGTTTTCCAAAATCTCACCTGAAACTTTCCTGAGGACCCATGTAGACACATTTTAAAAGAAGAAGATACAGTTAGAATGGCTGGTTTCCTCCACAGGCAAAGACTAAGATAACTATTCATCTATCAGATAATTATTCTCATATATAAGAGCAAAAAATCAGAATGATCTCGTTAAATTCGTAAATTGGAAGTTCCACCTTTGTTGAATGAGAAGGAGAACAAGTGAGGATCTCTGACAGTCTCCGAGGAAGCCTTCTTGCTGGTAAAGTTCTGTTTTCCTCCAAGTGCATACCAAAAGGATGAACTCTCTGTTCCTTCTTTGGCATGCTTGATAGTAATCCCAGGCTGATTTAGCAAGAAAAGAACACGTTTAGATCGTCCGGTTAAAGAGTAGTAGCTGGAAGGACAACTTAGTATAGAGCTTCAAATGCAAAATTTGAATATATCTCCTCTGAAAATGATAACTCCAAGTTAAATATACAGCATCTACTCTGGACAGCTTCAGCTACACCAAAACCATGACAAAACAATTGGTTACTACCTTTAAGATTTCAGCAACTTTAGCAGCCAGCTGCTGCTGCTCATGCGTACTTTGATTTCCATGCCAAAGGAACATGGAAGAACCAGATTGCAGAAGGAAGCATTCATAAGAGTTCAATGATGTTGCCACCTACATAAAGAACCGGGCACATTTATCACACTTAATGCAAGACAACAACAGTAAATTAAAGAACACATCTTGATACAAAGACAAACTATGGATCCATGTACTGCATAGAAATGATATTCCTGAACGTATGAAGTGAGAAAATAGGATGAGATGCAAAGAGTTGTCATCAAATTACAGTATTTCACGAATAGTTACAAAATGGAACAACAGAAAGGGCATAAAAAGAGAATAGCTAAAGTGGGAAAGTACCGCATCAACTTGCAATGCCTTATTATTGTGAACTCCAGTTCCAGACACTTGAATAAGTGCAATTGATTCTGGCATGTAGGTTTCATCTGGTGAACCTTTCTCTGCCACACTATTCTTGTAACCAGAGCTCAAACCACCCTAACAGTTCGTATAACCATATTAAGCCACCAATAATTTCTAAAGCAAACATAATCAAATGGCATCGACTCATAAGATCGGACTGAGATACCTTAAGAACCACCATAGGCTGAAAAAGGGCGACAAACTGTGGAGGTTCTTTACCCTCATATATACGACCCTGCAAGAAGGTTTCATTATTCACCAATCTTACTATTACTACTTACCACTGCTAATGATCACAAAATATGGTACCTGTACTGGTCTTCCCTTTAATGAGTTGAACATTGTATTTGCCAAACGAATCACTGTTTCTTGGTCCTCCTGAATTAGAAAAATAAAAAATTATTAGATGGAAAATTCTTTTGTGGTACAAGTTTAGACAGTTCAGGATGTATGCTAAACTGAAAAAAATGTTTTCCCCTCACAAGATGTGGAAACCAAGAATATGTAAAATGTGAATTGCTGTAAAGTAAAGATAGGGAGAAATTCAAAACACTAAAATGCCCTACAAAATTTAAAATTTGAAACTATTTCATTCATGAGAATGAGTCATATAACAATATATATGCTGCAAGTGCTGCGTATACTGAATTCCAAGTTAAAACCAGATAAAAGGTAAACGAAATTAATTTAGTCCGGATGTAAATGTCAGACATTGCCTCTATAGCTATAAACGGAAAATGTAATATACAATAATGAACCAACTGAAATTGAGGACTTTTTATATTAGTACCTGTATCAAAGATGCATATTCATGATTTGCACTATAAAATTACCTGAATGTCGTGGGAAAAAGGAATTTACCTGAATGCTATGCTTTCCGAACCAACAACACAAGAAATAGTCTTCTTTCCTATCACCAGAATGATAGGTATAAAGGACCAAATAGCAGTCCCCAGAATAAAATTTGCCTATATCTTCCTTGGCTAAAGGAGTTTTGGCTTTACCATCGATGCACCAAACCTAACACGAAAAAAAATCAATATTTGGATTAATACAGCCATTTTCAGGGGCAGAAATTAAAGGTCTAACACGTCAGAACACACAACAGACCTCTAACTTTCCACCTCCTTCAAGCAGAGGTGGAATATCCTCGTTCGCTGGGGTGCTTTTGGACAAACCCTTTAGCCCAACACCTTGTTGCTTCAGTAGAGCTAGATAGTAACAAAGTAAGATATTAAGCTAGGACTAAAATGCCACAACTATTTCAATTTTGCTTAATGGAAGTAAAAGCAAGCTTTTACCAGCTACTTTTCCCCGTCCTTCTTCGTTACCAGGAGCTGCAGAGCCTGATGGCCAAGAGTCAAAGATAGACTTGAAAGAATGGGGCTCATAACCTTGGATAACACGGGATATGCGTGTTGCCTTTGGCCTATTTTCACTGGCAAGAAAATCCTGGAGATGAAGATAAAAATGAGAACCCATGCTCAGATAGAAAGGGGAAAATAAATCAGAAGATATCATTTTTTACCTCAGCAGCTTGGCTAGCAGCCTTTCTCTCCTCCACTTGAGTTACACGGCCAACCCAAACAAATACCTCAGCACCACAGTCCAAGAGGTAGCATTTATTGTTTTCCAGCATGGACTTAGATAGATCTCCCTCGATAGGTTCCAACTGACCATTGACAATGCTATTTGAACAAACAATGAAAAATTAACACTCATATCAACAACTGCAGTGCTTAAACAAAAAACAGAGCTGATATTACTGATGAAGGCATAAGTAGCTGAGTGGCATCTATACCATGTTTTAGAGCAGCAAGCATTTCAAATATCATGTTCAGAATAGGGAAATACCAAAAGGAAGATGTGTACCTAGACAACTTGGGTGGAGTTGTCTCCGGAATAACGTCGTCCTCACTAGCAACTTTTCTTCCAATTGGAGCAAAACCACCGAAAAGGACCCAGAACTCACCAGAGTCTGATTCTGTATCTAGTTTTCCATCATCTGTTGCAAAGAAAGAAAAACACGTCCATGAGTTCTGCTTAAGGCATTCTGCGAGTACACATAAATTATGCCAACACAAAAAACAAGTCCTTCTAGCATTCAAATGCCTTTTTAGTCACCGAGATTAAAAATAAGGAAGAGGATAGGTTTGTCTTAATTGTAAATGGGTCTGCAGTGCGCTTACCAACAATCGCAACATCACATGTTCCTTCATGATATTTGTCTTTCAAATATTGAACAACTTCCAAAGCTTTAGCTCTCTCCTGAATGTTTGAATTTGCACCATTAAATTGATAGATCTTCTCCTTTGTGTCCAAGATAAATACATCATCGTGATTTAATGATGAGCGGGCAAAAGGAACCTACAAAAGGAAACATAGAATCTTAAATTATATACTGTTTCAAGGCGAAGAGCACAACAGCTCCATCAGTTAGCAAAAAGTGAAACCTGCTTCAACCGGACTGCACGTTTTCCTTTGCAGGTATATAACCGGGTTTCAAACTCTTCTTCTTCAGGTTTTCTAAATCCAGACGCAACACCACCCTCTAGTGGTATAATGCATGGCTTAAAGTAAGACAAAAATTTGTCAGATTCGTAACCCTGAATTTCCCTGTGTTGGACAGCACGGCCTCCAAGAACTGCATCGAGCTCAACTGTCTTAACTGCTGCTGTTCCAGCTTCATCCTGGAATCATCAATATCAGATTAGCGTAATACAGTTTCCCCTTTATTTGTCTTCCAACTAATGAGAGCAAAGCATATTTTATAGTAAAAAGGATTCAAAATTAGATACCTGACTTGTATCTTTCCCAATCCAGAAATGTATGTCGTATTGATAAGCACCCCCTTTATTTTGTGTTGTCTGCAGAAACAGAATATAAATATAGCAAGATGCCGGAGATAATAAGGCGCATATCTTTAAACACATATGAATATAATGGAAGAAGAAATGTTCTCTGTTGAAAGAGCTAATATCAAGGTTAACAAACGAGATGTCTTGAAGAGTATATATACAGCAGCCGAAACAGAGGAGGAAAAAGGGCAGAGGAAGGAATTCTCAAACCTGTAATATAATGTAACAATCTCCCATGTAGAACTTTCCGTGTTCAGATTTTGGCACCGGAACTGGCTGAAAATTCTCAATTCTCCAGATTTCAGTGCCTCTACGGGATGTTAAGTTCAACAAACTCAGACAGCATGCCGAACATTCAAGAATATCAGAAAAATGAGCATGCATAAGATATAACCAAAGAAATTCACGTTTTCCTATTTGCTCTTTGGTTCATTGGATGATAACCATATTGTTCCACTAATGTCTAATATAAATGCAGAGAGAGAAAGTAGTTAGGTTGTTCAAGGATACGGTTTCTGTCCAACTCCTTGAAATGCAGGTTCCAAGACCTTTGTTGATGAAGACATTTTTTTATATAGCGGCTTGTGCTTTCCTTTGCGTGATAATATATAAGATACACACCAAGAACCTGTTGTTTGATCCAAAGAAATCAGCATTCAAAACATACGCGAGGCAACTAGTATACCAAAATAAACTCTACAAATTAAGAACATTATTTTATCTTCTGAAACTTCAGCAAACAAAAGTAAAGCTTGTGAATAGACTGATTCTGGAAATTGTTACTTTCTCAGGTGTTGCACATACGAAGTTCAAGGAAAAAGGGGGGCAAAAAGGAGGCTCTGTAAATAGATAACAAGCAGCATAATCCAGGCTTTCTTTCCTAGTGGCGCCCACATTGACAAAGGTAAAGCAATCATACATGAAAATAGATGGAACTATGTAGAAGCAAGAGTGAAATAAATACACCGAAGCTCCCTACAAAACATTAATAGTTAATGATCCATTCGAGAAATTCAAGTTTATTATTCTCATTGACTCCATGATTAACACGAAGAAAGAATCAACATAATATTCGAATTATTTGTTCTCAAAAGGACAATGACAGACACAAGCTACAACCTAAAGTCCATCCTACTTTTGATGGATAGAAAGCTTCCTGAATCCTTGACGACAGGAGCTCAATGGTACACGAAGCTTGCAGATTTATTCATGGTTGTTCTAAAGGGAAGCACATATACATTGATTCTCATATACTCCAGATTCCATTACATATATATACACCAGGACACCGATGCACAGATCCAGAACCCCGTCCTAATAACTTGTCAAGCATACGGGTAGAAATACTTGTCTCTACTAATATTCCAAATGGCCCAACAACCCACTTTATGAGAATTTCAGAACTAGTGCGCTACTTATACATACTGGTAACAATAATAATATGATGAATTTCTCTGAACTTGAACAGAAGAAAGGCAGTAAAATCTACAATAGCAGCCTTAACAAACATCAACTGAAGATTAAAATCTCCACCTTAGACAGGAAAAACACTCACTAGAATTTACCAAGGCGTTTAGGATTAACCAGTCTTTCCTTCTGCCATGAATAGAAACATATTACATTCGCACCCACCAAATTCTCCCAGAAAAAAATTAACAAACGGCTTTCACCTAATCCAGATTCCAGGAAGGATATCAAGCATTTCGTTTATATCAGCCATGAACCACCTATTTCCCAGGCAAAGTCAAAGCACAGCGGTGGCCCAACTTTGCAATGTTTTGGATCATTCACATCGTTTCTATGTTCTTGTTTCGGATCATGCATCATTCTTTTGCCTTTCCAGCAACCAAGTTGTGGAAACAAGAGATTAAGAAAATTTAGGAATGCGATAGCCGTGATCAGGGAAAAGTGATCGGATCATTGAGTATGGCAAGTGGCCAAAAGAAGTCATCACTCATCAACAGAGGACCTCATCAACTTACATGCGATTCCCAGGAATGCAAACAACAATCAACAGTGATTCAATCCACAGAACAAAAAAAAAAGATTGGAAATTCCATAACTTTAACCCAAAAAAATGGAAATTTCCGCACCCATTTCAACAGGATCAAACGCTTAATTTAGAGAAACAAACAAACGTGGATAAATTTAGAAAGATCAAGACGACCCGGATCAGTAAATTCAAATTCAAGACAACGCGGAGAGAGATCTGAATCGAAAAGACGGATCGAATCGAAAATCAGATGATCCAAAACACACCCATCGATCAATCGATCGAGAGAAAGAGAGAGGAGGAGGAGACTACCTGCCCAACGGATCTTCGGGTGTCACTGGGGGGAGAGAGAAGGGGTAATGAAGAGCTGGCAATGAAATGGAGAGAAAGATCAGGCAAAGAAGAAAAAAGAAAAGAAAAGGCAGCAGAAGAAGAGAAGGGAAGAAAAAGGAGGAAGAAAGCAGAATTGAATTATTGAAGGAGGTGTGCGCTGTGCAATGGGGTTTCTCTCTCTACCTTTTCTTTTTTTGCTTTTTCGTAATTTAATTTGAATATGTATCGGGGATTGAGGAGATCTACAGACCGAAGACAAGAAGAAGAAGAAGAAGAAGAAGGAAGAAGAAGATGGAGGAGACAAAGGTTGGAGGTCTGTCAACAATTTATGGAGAGGATAAAGATCCCGTCGTCCATGCCATTGCCACCGGCCATTTCAGCTTCTCTCTCAACCTTTTTCTTTTTCTTTCCCCTCCCGATTTGCCATTTTTCTTATAAATACCCTTTGTAATAATAATAAATAGTTAGCGCTTAATAATTTGATTTGAATATTTAACAATAATTTAGGGTTTGTTTTAAATAATTCTAATTTGAAGAATGTCACGATGAAACAGACATCAAATCTCGGTATTTATATATATATATATGAATAAGATGTTTAAAATTTATAGATATATGGAATTAGGAAAACGACAAATAAATCGTCATATAATATATAGCATAACAAAAGAATGTCTTCAAAAAATTGAAAATTTGATAATTTACTCATGAAACCGATCAATAATATGGAATGCATCGATCCGTGTATCATTTATTATGTTATTAAGTATCACAACTTGTCTTATATACATATACATATGAACATGCATGCGTTAAATAAGAAAGATTTCACATCATTCATACATGAGAAAAAAATTTGGAAACCAAACCAACTATATGTATATAATACATCAAATATCAATTGCATATACATATATATATATATATACAGCACGTGAAGCTGCCAAAAATGATCAAAAGTGATATAGATATTTTTATTACGATAGTATTTTGAAAGGATGGATGCTTAGTATTTAGTACCGTTAATTATGATATATGCAAGCATTTCCCTAATTATAACCCTAATTGTAATTGAAGGATGTACTTATAAAATATGCGTATATGTATTTGCACTTTTCGTATAATGATGGAATATACTTTTTTTTTTTTTGGGCTCAACAATTTTAAATAGATATATAAACAGATAAAGCAAAAAAGAAAGAGAACAGCCTCATTTGCCACTTTTTGGGCAAAGGACATGAATGGCATACATGCTGGTCAATCACTATTTAAAATATATATATATATATATATATATATATATATATATATATATATATATATAAAGATGTGAGAGGGCCATGGAACACGAATAAAAAATTAATAGTTAACAATTAGTTTAATTTTAATAAATAACAAGAGCATCTGTAACAATTTTTAGTTGTAAATATTTTTCAAATTTTAATATATATTTTTGGAGGACGATGAATGACAACGACCGGCCCATTTGCCGACCAAATTGGATAATTTCCGATTTAAATGCATTACCATACCACCGTCCGATCCATAAAGGACGATGAAGAAACTTTTCAGAGGTACATATATATATATATATATATATATATATATATCGTTTCACTATAATATTTTCATATAAAAATTGAATAAAATAAAATATGATATATTTTGAATGTTGAATATTCAACCGGCAAAATTGCAAAAATAACCCAACTTGTCGATTTGGACTTCACGACATGACCCTCTAGGTTTAGGGTTTTAAAAAAAAAATCTAAAATGATAAAAAGACTAATTTGCCCTTAAAATATTGAATACGTGGCAACTCAATGGAAAGCAGGAAACGACAACAACTCTCTGTGTTTCCAAATTTTCAAACAAACAACGGACGAACGTCTTCTCCTCTCATCCGGTTTCTTTCTTCAATCGCGCAAATCTCTCGGGTTCTTCTTACAAAATCGTCTTCTGTCGGCACAAATGGCTTCATCTTTGGCTTCTCCTTCGGTTACTGCTTCGGTTTCTACTTCAGAAGATCTACAGGTATGGTACACTCACCGAAAAAATTGATTGCGTCGTTCGTCCTCTCTTTGTCTTTGTGTTTATGTGTTTGTTTCGGGTTTAAACTCCAATAGAGTAATGTTCGAGTCGTTTGGGTTAGAAAAATTAGGGTTTTAGGTGAAAAATAGAGATTTTCAGAAAGATAGTTAATGAAAGTCGAATTTTTTGGTCAGACGGTTATATTACTCGAATTAGTCAGACCCATGAAATGGGTAGACCAATGAAATGGTCAGACCAGTGAAATGGTCAGACCCGTGCAGTGGAGAAACCAGTGAAGTGGTCAGACCCTTGAAATGGTCAGACCCGTGAAGTGGACAGACCAGTGAAGTGGTCAGACCCGTGAAATGGTCAGACCCGTAAAGTGGGCAGACCAGTGAAGTCTGGTTAGACCCGTGAAATGGTCAGACTCGTGAAGTGGGTAGACCAGTGAAGTGGTCAGACCCGTGATGTGGTCAGACGAGCGAAATGGTCAGACCGGTTAAATGTCAGACCCGTGAAGTGGTCATACTTCACTGGTATGACCAGATTTATTGTAATCATAGTCTGTTTCGTAATTGTAATATAATAAAACTGATCATGAGAGTTAATCTAATTGTTGCAGGTCCCTTTTGTGTACGCTTTCAAGGATATTCAACACCGTGCATTAAGGTTGGAAGGAGAGGAAAAAGAGTTTTGGTTTGTTGTAAATGGCGTGCCCATCAGATACTCGATCCAGGAACATGCCATTATCTCCGACTTAAATTTTAACAACTATTCGGAGGACTGGACTAAATGTAAGGGAAGTGAATTTCGGAAAAGAATATTCGGAACTTCAAAAGTTACCATAGAAGCTGCATTAAAGAAGTTGCGCGAAACTCCACATGCAAATGTGGAAGAAAGAAAGAGATTAGCAATAATTGTATTGTTTTAAACAGTGATTTGGTGGACATGGTCGAAAGTCTGGACTTCTGTGAAGGGTTTCCCTGGAGAAGATACACCTTCGTTAAGATTAGCGATCAGATTCGGAAATTGTATAATGAATTGGTTTGTATATTGCAGTTTCTTCCTTTCGAATGCATCGAAAGTTTAGGCGCAAATGGATGGTATATTGATGTTGAAGGTATCGATCCGACTTGTCCTAGGATGTGCAAGAAATGCATCAAACCGGATCTTTTTATACATATGCAAAGGTGTATAAACAGATTGGCGATACCTCAAAGATACATATTAATTTGGTGATTTCTTTTATAGTGTCACCAGTTGGATTGGTCTGACTAATTGAATTGGTCTGACAAATTGAATTGGTCTGACCA